AACTTAATTAAAGCTGAATGATCATTTTTGTAAAGGAGGGGCATCTCGAGGCTGAGGTGCAAACAACATTTACTAACCAACAATAAAGACAAAGCGTCAAAGACCTTCAAGTGAGGGTTCAAAGCCCTCTCGAGAGCGTCGTTAGCTTTGTCAAAGATGTTTTTCGACTGAGCCGCCGCGCAGATCCTGAGGCCCCTGAAGCAAAAAAGCAGAACGTTCTAATGCGATGGGTGAAAGCAACTACCTCCGGAGGCCATCATTAAAACGCGCCTACGAGCATCGAGGGTTTCATAACGGAAGCCATGAACATCGAGCGTGCTCTTCTTGCAAAAGCCAGCCACTACCAGAGACTAACCGGCGTCAAAGCTTTCTTACCGTCCCCTTGCGACCTTGCCCACGGCGTTCTGGGCATTCATGAGCATATTCGTGACGTCGTCCGGGAGGTACTTAAGAATTTTCTGACGACTGCTGAGCGCCCCACCTTAATCTCCATTGCCTAGGTTCTTCGAGACAAGGTTTAGCGAGTGTTTCTAACAGGTGCCGCTATCACCGAAAAGCCGACGCCGACCTACGCTGCCATGGCCTGGCGACCGCCGCAAGCTAACCGCCCAGCCACGACACCACGCCAACGGGACACTCCGGTGCCGCAGTATCCTCGACGCCCGGAAGGAGAAGTCCAGTATCCCTTACAAAAACAGGTCTCAACATTCTTTTTAATTTCTTTAGACTTCTTATTGACTTTTCGGGATCCTATTGACTTTCTTTATAAACGCACTTTCTTTTGATTATTGTCAAAAAACTTTCAAAAGAAAAAAGAACGACTTTTTTTTGTAGACTTATTTATACAAAAATTAAAAAGAAATCCTAATGACGTTTTTCTATAGGTTATTTTCTAAAAAAATTCAAAAGGAAAATATAATGAAATTTTTTTGTAGACTTATTTATACAAAAATTAAAAAGAAATTGTAATGACGTTTTTCTATAGGTTATTTTCTAAAAAAATTCAAAAGGAAAATATAATGAAATTTTTTTGTAGACTTATTTATAAAAAAAATTAAAAGATGTTGTAATGACGTTTTTCTATAGGTTATTTTCTAAAAAAATTCAAAAGGAAAATATAATGAAATTTTTTTGTAGACTTATTTATAAAAAAAAATTAAAAGAAGTTGTAATGACGTTTTTCTGTAGGTTATTTTTCAAAAAAAAATTCAAAAGGAAAAAATAATGTCATTTTTTTGTAGAACAATTTAAAAAAAATTAAAAAGTTGTAATTGCTTTTTGAAAGTTATTTTCAAAAAAGTTTTAAAAAATTATCAACATTATTTTTTTATTTTATAAGAGAAAAAAAATTTAATCTTTTACTATTCTATTAAAAAATATTGAGGACATTTTTTTATTTGGGAGAAATTTTTGAAGAATAACAGGTCACATTTTTTGAAAATATTGAAAGGGAAAATACATTTTCTATAGGTTTTTCTCTGTTGGCATATTTGTAAGAGTTCTAAAAATGATAGTAAGTTGTTTTGCACTTTTTCGTTTAATCTAGGATTTTTTTTTTTTAGAATCAGACAAAGGCAAATGACCTTTTTCATTCCGTTTCCTGTTTCTATTTAATAAAACATTCCGCAAGCACAACCCTCTTAACATATGTTGAAAAATGGCTTCAACTTGACATCTGTACATAGTAAAATTCTTATTTTTATGGCAGCGCATTTTTGTTACGTCAGACATAACAAAAATAATATTAAAGTTACGTCCGACATAACATAAAAGTTTGCTGTGCCTAGCGTTAAGTCGGGACGGATACTTGCAAATGCATCTCACAGCTATGTTTCATCCTGTGCGGCTTGAATATATGCATGTGCCAGAATTATATAGATTGATGACATACTAGAGTAGTTTCGTGAGAATTCAGAAAGCATCACACACTCTGCATGCTATTCGGAGTTTGAAATGGAACACTGGTGACACAATCTGCATAGAGGTGTACACGTTTTGTTCCTAGATTTGTCTTCAGTGTGTATGTGGGAATATATGTATATAAAAGTGCCAATGATTTATACTTACTGTAATCAGCAGAAGTGAAATTTCGCAGCGGCTTTAATTAACCTTCCTACAAACTCTATTCTGTGTGTGCACAGTTATACAAAACTATGAAATATAAAACCTAACTTCTCGGTTTTATCAACAGGTACTATTAAAAAAATGTACCATGATACAATGCAACAAAAGTCAAGAAGAACAAATAGTGATCCTTTATTCACAGGGCAAAGCTTGCTCAGGATAATGCCGCATTACTCTCTGGTGAAACACAAAATACAACATAGTGTGAAAATTGCTTTACTAGTTGCATGCACATGGAGAAACGACAGAACAATATTGCAATGGACACTCCATCTTTTAAGTAACAATATCAATCACGCTTGGCAGCCACAAGAAACTTGTCAACCTTTATGTGAAGATGAATTAGTGTTTCTATGCAGGAGCTGTCTCTTGATAGTCACCATGCAATCCAATAATAATAAAACATTCCTCTATATACACCAAATCATTGTTTATAAACACGTATGCATTTGCCCAGAGGAGCTGTGGGCACTGCACTTGTGCAAGAACTTGTTTTTTAAAGAGTGAAAGATCCCGTACATGCTCCAACAGTCCGTGCACCTGCCTTGACATGATGCCAGATACAAGTTAGTCTATAAAACAGCAGAACTGTCACATGTCAATTTGCACTGTAAGCTTCCTAATGCCATCTAACAATCTCTCAAAAGAAGGAAAATGGTGTAAATATCTAGCCACAACATGCATTGTGACTTGTGGCAAGACAGAAAATGAATGCTCTTTGGAATCATTTATAAACATGATACACAAATATACTCTCAATCCAACACTCCTGTGCATTCATACTATCCAATAAAAGTCACGTTGGCTCTCTTCGTAGCAAATACTATAAACCAATGGTTGTAAACCGACATATGAACATCTCCAGTTTACCGAGATGGTTGGTGGCCTACTCACACTTCCACACGACTTAAGACGAGATTAGCCTACCCAAAACCCAGATTGGAAATAGGTGCGTACTCTCATCACTGCCTCAAGAAAATATCATTTCACACAAAGTGCATAAGCTGCACAAAGTAGTTTTTACAAGGTATGGGTGTCAGAGAAAAAAAAGTTTCTTTTTTCATTTAAAATGTGTTCCATTTTGATACAATCTAAATCCTAACTCATTGTAAATGCATATAACCATACGGTCACTATGTAAAAGGAAAAAAATAGGTAATGGCAAGGAGCCACTTTTTTTATATGGTTCTTGAGGTGACTACGAATCCAGAAAGACCGACATTGCATGTGGCACCATCGTGAGAAGGGAAAGAACCAGAACAAAAAGAAACAAAAGAACACTAATGGCTATATTCATGCGCAACAACAAAACTATGACTCTGTGGGAAGTTCGACTGAGTGGTCAAAAAAAAAAGAGGGCACAAAGCTAGTAAGTGTTTCCAGGGCCATGGATAATCAATACCATAGCTGCCTAGGTAGAGCCCGGGTCAGTTGGTCATAGAAGATCAGGGATGGCCATACTCACACTGCCCAAGAGCGGCAAGCAAAATTGTTAATTTGTAAAGGGGAGGAGGTAATTTTGTCACAAAGGGCAGGCGAAGATTCGGCAAAGATCACTAAAGAACTGATAGCTCAATAGTTTAATGTGGAGAACTTGTGCCAGAAACAAATAAAAAACGGAGCGTCGGGAAAGCAGAAAAAAAGCAAGCATCAAGGTGCCGACGGGACGGCAGGCTCGAGTGAGACTGACTCGGCAAGGCTGACCGTTTCCCTACTGCGACGAGCAACATGCTTGAACATGTTTTTTTAACTATGCTTTCACTCACGAGCATGCACACAGAGCCGAATTGCTCAAAGTGTTGCACTCGCATCCTGCAGCTGCTGACATAAAAGGCCTAGAGTCGCAACCGCGATTCACTTGCCATATTTATCATTAATAGCCCAAAACAGTGTCGCCGTACAATGCTTCGCTGAGAGGTATACACTGCGTCCTAACTTGCTTTGCTTTGCTCGCCTATGTGGTGAAAAGAAGTTACACTGCAGCATTTACTAGCCAAAGCAACAAACGAAAGCCTGGAATTAGAGAGGATTTAACCGGTGCAACTACGCTGCACGAACCATGGCACCCATGAACCATGAACCAGGTGGTTCATGGGCGCCATAATGCGGCTGCTGTGGGCCAGCTACGTCAGAATTGTGACAATGTTGCCTGGTCTCCAAATGCAAATGAGTAACATTAAAAAATTAATTTCTTGAAATAGTAAAGCTCTAAAAATTCTGAAAGTTGGTATGTATATTGAGCAACCTATCAGGGTTTCATATCAAGAGTCACCCGACTTAACTAATTTTCATGTAATGGCCCCTTTAAAGGGATACTTCAACGAAATTTGAAATATTCTCGTCGTGTTTAAAAATAGGTTGAATATGATCCACAATATCCGTAAATGACAATCGCACGTTTGTATTTTGAGCCTGGTGGCTGTATTTTTGATATAAACGGCCCACTCTGGCAAGCGCTCGGAGAAGGCCCAGCGGAGACCACGTGACATCCAACGCAATCGTGACGTAGGTCGTCCCAAGACGAGCAAAGCTACGGCTAGGCTGACGTCGAGAGGATGGCCTAGTCGTTCCAGCCACCGAAGCGGCTGCTTTTGTATGAATTTTGAGTGACGGGTTAATCTTCTGTAATCTTGTAGGGGGACAATAGCGACTTCTGCGACATACAAAAAGCATTCCCGGGGAGAGGGGAGTTCCTGCTGCCCCACTTCTCTCGTCGTGGCCGGAGGCGAGACAACCTCCGTCAATAGCTGTCAAGGTTCCTAGACGGGCATTACAAGCGAGGCGTTAGCGACATCCACCAGGTGCTCTTTGCTAATCGTTTAATTCGTTTTAAAATTCCTTTTCGTGACATTTTAACAAGATATTGGTGTGTTCGATGTGATGCTGCTCCTTTGAGCACATATAGACCAAAAAATGAGCGCCGAAATTTCGTTGTAGTATCCCTTTAAGAACAGGACAGGTGCATCGGCAATGAGATCACACCTTAAGGAAGGAGCACTAAAAGGGAAGTTTTAATGCAAAAGCATTAACTGCCTCATGGAAAGAGCCGACGTCTTCAGTTTGAAGCGCGAAAACGGCACATTAAATTCTTTCTTTCATTAAATCTTATGTCCGCGAGGCAGCGGCTCCACCGCTCCACGCCCAAGGTCAGCGCGCTGTACGCCGGAGACCAAAGAAGGGAACGAAGAGCGGCATACGTGCTTTCGCATTCACAACTCATAAGAAGTACTTAGGTGCACCTCGAGGCTTTTGTTTTTATGCTCCTTCCTCACTGCAAGCTTTCAGACAGACTCAAGCACATAGGTATCATTCACAACGCATAGACAGGTGCGAGAAGAATTGCAAAGAACTATGCACTTCTGAACAGATGCAGCGTCCTTTTCGATTATTGCATTAGTGTGTTGCACTTCAACAAACTGTACTAGAGAAAGAGCTCCAAAAGAGCTGAGAACAAAGTCCTTTACTTTCAGTTGTTCTAAACGCAGGGTCACATTTTTGACACAGCTACATGACGTGTGCCCCCGCTTGCACCAAGCAACAATGGCAACTAGCTGCCCGAATATGCCCCCTACAAACACGTAGGAATTCTTCCTACGGGACTTGTCCAGTGCTTTGACACAGTACGTGAAGGCACCAATTCTAACCTTCTTGAAAAGGACTTTGTCTCCTTCGGGTTGACCCTTTCCTTGGAAGATTACGGCACCATTCTTTACCACATGCTTCCTCAAGTTGTAGCCTTTCATCAGTGACCTGAGCAGTACCGCGATCTGGTCATCAGCACTGCGGTTGGAGGCGACTGCCCACAGTTTCGGAAGACTTCGGATTATTGAAAACTTATCAATAATCTGACATTGAACATATCTTGTCCCATTTACAAGTCGTACAAGTTTCCCATTCATTGACTCAAAGGGATATGCGGAGTACCCCCAGAGGGGTCCCCACAGTCTCACACTATCTATCAAGTGGAGGAGTAAGTGCGTGTTGTAAGTCATGTTGACTTGGCCATAGAGTTCCTCGAACTCTTTGAGGAATGCGGTCATTGCTCTTTTCACCTGTGGAAGGCTGTCAAGTGGAACTGAGCGACTCAACAAGAAGTGCATGATACGCACAAACTTCAGCCAGTTGTCGAAGTACTTTTTCGGGAGGAACCCCTTCAGGACCACAGGAGAATAAAAAAGCATCCAGCTGCGCCATTCCGACGACTTCCAGAACTTCATGTCCTTCAGAGATCTGGGAAGTCGGGAGATCTCCCAGATTGGCTGCAGCGCTTTTAGTTTCATGTCTATTTCAGACATGAAACTACCCAGGTGGTAGTGCTGCCCACTCCGACCTTTGAACCACATAAAGGCCGTGGATCTCACGAACCCGGAGCACACAGCGTGCATGTAATCAACAATGAAACCTGAGGCAAAGTTGAAAAATGCCAATCCGAAAAGAATGCTTGCACCCTTAACACCATGGCTTGGTGCACCTTGCTTCTCTGCCTTCTCAGAATGAAGGAGAAACGACTCATGAGACCGTGTTGTGCCAACGACCGCAGGGTACACTCTTACATGGCCTCGACCTTTCTCCACGACCTCTCCTTCGGCCTCACACCAGCCGCACCCAAAAGCCCCATTAAACTGAGTCATGTTCATGAGCATACAGCGTGCAACAGTATCTACTGTACATGGCCCTGGAAACACTCTAGATACTTTTTGTGTGCCAGAAGCATCAGTCCAAGGAACACCCACAGAAGACAGTTCATTCATAACCTCCACAAATGGCTCCAAAAAACAGTTCATGTCTGGCTTTTTAGGGCCAAACCACAAACCTGCTAGCAGCAGGTTCTGCACGCGTTCGTGAAATGGCAGCTCATTCACTTGCAGAAGCAAAGGCCAAATGCTGTAATTCGAAGACTCGAAAAGCGGAACACCATCGGTATTCCACGTTACGCTGAGATCCCCCTCTTTCAGCGGAAGGCTGTGGTAGACAGAGCTTTGTGTGATGTCCTGCACATCATACTCCAACGTTCCTGGAGTGCTCAGGCTCCCACTCAACAAAATGTCCCGAACCTGGGACTTAAGGTCCAAAAAAACAAAATAAGCACCCTTCGACACAAGATCATCTGCTCTATAAACAGTACTACAGACTGAGCAGGATACTTCTAAGAGAGATGCAGTCACTTTCCCCAGATTGCATACGCATTGGGGGCAGTATAAATACATTGCCTTACTGGCTTCGTCCCCAGCAAAATGCTTAAAAAATAAAAACTTCGACCTGGGAAAAACTGTTCCCTCCGGAAGATGGGAGTCCACAAGCTTCAGAAGGCTCTCGGTTGATTCCTTCGAAGAGTCGTACCGCAGGCTGTGGCTCATCACCATTATCAGGCTTTCCGCTCTCGTCAGCTTGGCCCCTTGATACAGTGGTTCATCCTGTGAATTGTGTAGATGAATTAGAAAGACATCAATCTACAAAAATTGTGTACTTCTGAGTTTAGGGCTGAAAACAAAAGCAAGGTCTTTGCAGGACCAAGAACACTGTAGTGTTGTTCATTTCGAGTTAAAGGGATGCTGAACTGAAATCTGAATTCCACAAAACACGGCGGCAAAAGCGTGCAACAGGATGCTACAAACACCAAAACATCACTCATTCAGCGATATCTCAAATGGATGACTGTATTTTTTAAGAAAAAAGGAGGTGCACTTGACAGATATGTTTACGTCTTGTTTCTACGAGAAGGAGACGGAACGGCCTCGCGTCTTCTTCGCCTCGCCGCCTTGAGGGGGCGAAGCGAAGAGAGGAGGAAACGAGATATCTTGATGTCACGCAGTTTATCGGCCTCGCTCAATCGCGACCTCTTTTTCCAAAAATACGGCCGTCCATTCGAGATATAGCCTTATGAGTAGTGTTGTAGGGATTGTAGTGTCCCGCCTGCATTTCCTGCATTTTTCAATCCAAATTCCAGGTTTTGCCCCTCATGTTATGGTTTGAGACCTGAAGCATGGCTACATTTCACATCAAGATTTCTGTACACAGAGTTAAGGCTGCACGACATAGTTCGTATAGCATTACCCAACGTGAAAAGAGTAAAGCTATACGCACTACATAGTGCACCTCGACCAGAAATGGTTATACTCACTACGCGAAGAGCTCACGCCATTTGGGTCACTCTTTCCAGGCGGCGCGTGTATCAACGGGAGACGTGTTACGCCAGCCCCCTGCCTGTGTTCACGCCGCTTTGCGGCGAGTGTGCGGCTGCTAATTACAAAACTATTAACCCACATGCCCCTTCCCCCCATACACGACACTGCGCGGCGTTCAGCCAGCAACCCGAGCCCCACTGTCCCCGATCGTACCTCCCGAAAGGGAGTCCCATATCATTTAATTCAGCAAAATTTCCTCAACGTTTCCTTTTTTTTTTTTTTCAGTGTTAATTGTAAAAAAGAAATGTCGTAAATATTGCCAATTGCTTAACAAACATAAACGTCCTAGAAGAAAAGAAAAACAAAAAAGAGGAAGTTTACACAGGGGTTCGAACCCCATCGAATAGGGCACCGCTGCTTACAAAACAGACGCCTTACCACTAAGCCACGCCACCGCGTCGATAGTTTGTTGTAACCATTCTTGTTATACGAGTTTCGGGTAGTCCGTATAGCACTTTCCAGCCGGGGTGCACGACGTAATGCGTACAGCTCTACTCAATGTGAAAAGCGAGGTATATTACCGTTTCCCTTTTGGCCCCTGCCTCTTCTGAACTCGGGGGGTCGTCTTCGCCTTCGGACGAGGGCGACTCCGACACCGGATCTTCCGTGAAACGTTCATTTGCTACGCTTCTTTGACCAGACGTTGAGGCTACACTTGCATTTTCTTCGTCCAGAACGGTCATCGATGCGCTCCCGGGACTGTCCACTTGTGGAATGCCAGGACTCAGCTCCGAGTCGGAGAGTTCGCTGTCACTGGATGTGAGCACAAGCGCTTCCCGTTTTCTTTTTTCTGCTTCTTTTCGAAGTCGATGCTTCGTGCGGGTCGGCACTTCGGAAGAAGGGTCCCACAGGTACTGCTTATACGGCCGTCTTTTCCCCATGCTGCGCTCAACCTCATACAGAGGCGTCCACGATCAAAAACAGAAGATAGGGATGTGACAGTGATGTACCAACACTACGCCACTACGCTATAGTCAAAACGATCAAACCCGATTATCGAGCGGTATCCCACACGAACACCAAACCGCCGTGAACCACTAAACCGACCGAACCGGATCGAAGCGCACGCAATAGCGGTCAGGGACTGGATTGGATATAAACTACCTACTCACTGGCTTGCACAATAATTGGTAAACTTTATAGTTCGACATATTTAATTACTTACAATTCTTTCATGCTTAATAATGTAAAACTTATTTTAATAAACCGAAACATTTATGTAAATGTAATTCCCCATCGTGTAAAACAGCGAATGTCTATGCCTCTGCTGGCAACAATGTGTTCTGTTTTCAAGTCAACACGTTGTTCGTAGTCTCGTCGTCTCGTAGTGCAGGCGTGCAGGCTTGGAGAGAACATGTCACATATTTTAGTCCGATGGCTGTCGGAGGAGAAATGGGATGTGTACCCTACACGTGTCCTTGTGGACACAGAGCTAGGGCTACGTCTGATGGCGGAGCCCAGCGCCATCAAGGACCTGCGGGGTTCTGTTGTCTTGGTGAGATGGAGCGCGGAAGAGCCGCCTGCAGAGGCGATGTTGATTGAAGCAGGTAAGTGAATGAACATGCACGTGGTTTTCCTCTGACGTCGCTAATGTCTCTAATATTTTGTGCACCGCCTAATGTTATTTTATCCCAAAACTGAATTATCTGTCGCCGGTGTTGAATGACACGAACACCATTGCTCGGAGAACCTTCGTTTCGAAGTCCGCGGCAAGAAAGTTCGACAAGGGTTGTCCCTCGCCATCAATAACATTTCTCCAAGGTCGCGTTGTCATTTCCTGCTTTCAAATCATACAAGTGACGGGAACCGGACGTTTAGGTACGCTGTCTTTCTGGCGCCGCAGGTTTCGGTGCGTGGCTATTCTGGGCTCCGCTGACCTTGCTTCTACAAAGTCATGTGGTGTTTCTGTACCCTAATCTGGATGACTTGGTATAAGCCCTTTGTGCATGCTGCCCAGTGATCTCTATGACAATTGCTGGATCGCGCTTCCCCGCTTCAGAGCCCTGTATAGAGAGTTTCGTCAATGGGAGGCGCGGGGAGTCAGGGCGTGGGCCAGACGTAGAAAGTGGGCTTGACATGCTCTCTTGGCCAACCAGAAGCCTAAAAGAATCCCCTGGCTGGGTAGCGAGAAACTGTTTAATCAAAGGTTCGTATATAGTTTTAATAAGCGCGTAAGAGTGAAATTTAGTAACTCTTCATGGTTGAAAATAGGGTGCACGTGATGTTTCGATCATGATCATTCAGAAAGATGTAAGAAATGAATGTGCCGCTCAACTCTGTTTTGCTCAGACAGTGTGACCACTCGGATGGCAGATTCCCGGCCCTCGGCGCCTGACGTACGGATTATGTCGATCGTTCCGCTAGTCACGCTCTTCCACCATAATTTTCGAAGACCGTAATTGAAACACCTCATGCGCCATATTTTCGTCGCCAAGAGTTACTCCGATGCACTTATTAAGTTAGTTTCTTGCTACCACCGCCAGGGTTTTTTTCTGACTTCTGGTTGGCCACAATCGACTTTGTGAAGACGTCCTGGAACACGCCGAGCCCTCTTTCGGCCAATGGCACCTCCTCGTTTTGTCTTTTACACTTCTCAACGAATGGCCAAACTCTCTGCATATACGCCTCTGCCCCACTTGGTCGCTGCAGCGCGAGTGAAGCCATCGGACCACCATCTTGCTCATAGGCAAATTGCGGTTTTGCTAGCGTTGCAGAGGCTGGCGGGAGCGTGCTAAAGACACGTTTTCTGCTCGTTCGTCGTCATTCGCCGAAGAACTTTTTAAGGCCCTGTGTAAGCGTTGAGACTTGCAGTTGAGGACACGTGGAAATATTTACGAAAGTGCAGTGCCGCAGGAAAAAGGCTCAACTCGTCGAAAGCAAGTTTTGCCGGTCTCGCAGCATCATCAAAGCTTCCTTTGCACGCAGAAGTGCTGCGTCTCTGTGCCTTCGCTCGCTTGGATACCAATCAAGAATCGACACCGTGTGGATGTGTTTTGGGAGTTCAATGTGCGTGGAGCTCTATGTGCCTTGGAAGCAGCGTTTTACTTTACTCTGGCAACTGTATTTCTAGCTTACGGCACTTGCGGTCGAGAAATGAGCTTGATCCAGTGTCCAGTGGCGACGGAAAAGGGGGGGAGGGGGGGGGGGTATGGTACGTCTTTTTTTAAGTCGTTAGGCGGTTTACAGAATACCGCGCACACAGCTCCTCATCACTGATCAGTGGTCTGGGGCTCATTATCAACAATTGCTTGGGACATCAACTTTGAGCACGGCTCACCTAAATGTGATTGGTTAACCGATTACCTAGCCTCAAAGATTTTCAGTCTCGTCGTCTTGTACTTTTGCCATCGAAAACCATTCTTGCTCCACAGCATTGCTCTATTTGTGCCGCCATGTGATCCATTAGTGTAGATTTGGAACATAGCCATGGTTAATAGTGCATAAGAGCAGCCATACAGATTGTTTTCCCCCCTTTATTGATAACAAATTGCCGGAACAGCTGGACGATCAAGAACTCTACGGCTGATATATGATACAAAGACATTTACGTGCGACGCATTTTCAGAACTTTGCCACGGCACTGATTCTTGATTGGTATCCAAGCGTGTGAAGGCACAGAGATGCAGTGTTTCGGCGTGCCAAGGAAGCTTTGATCTTGCCGCAAAGCCGGTGAAACATGCTTTCTACAAGTTCTGCCGTTTTCCTGCGGCACTGCGCTTTCGTAAAATTTTTCACATGTTCTCAACGGCAAGTCTCAATGCATACGCAGGGTCTTAAAAACCTTCTTCGGCGAAACATGATGAACAAGTAGACGTGTCTTCAGCACGCTGCCGCCAGCTTCTGCAACACAATTTGTCTACGAGCAAGATGGCCGTTCGGTGGCTTCACTCGCGGGAGCGGGAAGCACAATCCAGCAATTGTCATAGAGATCAGTGACTCTGCTTCATAAGGGTATATAGGTTTTAAACTTAATCTTGGTTAGCATTGATAGGTTGCAGACGAGCTGGTAATGAATCGACACCTTGTAGACCCTGAGATGGGGAAATATAAAAAAACGGACGAAGGAAAACTTTTGTTTTACAAAGTGAGCTATCCTTTGTCTTTTGTTTAGTCATGATATATGTTTTACCTTTTTGTTGTGATGTTTTGATTCTTTTAAATTTTGACTGTCAGTCCTTTCTATACATGGCTTGCATGTACATCAGTTGGCCAGACACAATGAGGAAAAGGGCTCGTGAGAGCATAGCCTCTACCGTGTTAATCTTGCCATCAGAAAGGAGGGCCTTGGGGTACTCAGGGGGGGGGGGGGGGGGGGAAGGGAAGGGAAGGGAAGGGAGGGAGGGTGCATGAGAGCATAGCTTCCTCTGCGCTAACGAGGCACATTTCACCACCAGAAAGGAGGGGTGGATTGACGTCACGTGCAAGCCATGTATAGTTGTTAAAAGCCTACGCGTAAAACTTGAACAAGTAGAGATACAGTCATGGTAAAAATAAATAGGGACAAGGGAGCTGCAACTGAACTACCGAAGGTTCTACCTTTACAGTCTATTTTAATATGAGGGTGAACAGGCTACAATCTTTGATTGCCATTACCTGAGCGTGAGTCGCGCCAATGGGAATGAAGGCGAGAAAGTGCGCATGCGCAGAGAAAAGAAACTCATGGCCTTTATTTCTGTTGTCGTGACTTGTACAAGCTTGTAATAGATATAAAAGAAGCTAGCTTGTCCACCCTCATATTGGAGGCCATTGTTAGTTTGAAGCGACAAGTTTGTTGTTTGTTTGAAGCCACATCTGCTGCTGTTAGAGCTGCAAATTTTATTGTTAAATTTTGCCAGGTCACTCGATTGACTTCATCCTAATTCCATCTAGAAAGGGGCATCATCATGTATTAATCCGCTGGTACTGCAGCTTGCATGGTACGAATCAAAATAACACTATCTTCAGTTATGCAGTCAGATCTTAATACAGCGACCACATGCTAGCATAGGGCACATTGTACTGCGAATTACAATAGTATTTTGTGCTTCTTTTCCCACACAATCATTAGAAACATGGTTGCTTTTGTTTATGAGGAACAAAAATTATGGAGTCTCACCATCTACAAAGGAGGTAAATGTAGCATTGCCCAGATTAAACCAGAGGCGGGGTTCATAACATGGCACAGAGCACCGATTGTCTTGCTGAAGCTGCTAGAAATGCTGCTAGAAGGTCCTGGAGGTTCCAGACAGCAGGCACTCTGTACGTTCCTATTTCTTTTAGCCATGACTACAGTCACTGGCCATACAAGCTCTAGCAGCAGAATGACAACTGGAGCAGTAAAACTGTCGCATGCAGCGAGTCAAGCGTGGTTGTGCTTTGGGAGCTGGGCTATTGGAACCGACCCGTTTTGCAATCGGTGTGGAAGCGGAGCTTTTATCTGCACTCCCAGCTTTTTAAAGTGGAATCTACAGGATGGCCGATTAAATTTCTGCCTTCGGGTGTTGGTACAAAGTATAAATTCACCATTTGTCAAACTGCCCAATATTGAACCAACAGCGCACTGGGATGTCCTAGCCCCTCAAGGATGGGGTTGGTTCCCTGTAGAGCATGTGTAGTAGATATGTGAAAGCTCGCTTCGTGGTGGAACCATTTCCCGCCACTTTATTAACTGGGGATAATGACAAAAGGAAGACATTTGTAGCAGTGCAGGCAACTCCTTTACAGTAAGCATAAAATTGTGCTGAAAACAGGAGACTGTTCGCATTTTGGTCACTGACATGTCTTTGTGTATACATACTCTAAACGACTAAAGTTTCGTGAGGACCTACTTTTTGCCAATTTCATGACTTGAGCAATATTGCAACAAATGGGAGATGGGAATATGTCGCCCTTTAGATACCAATACATTGCATATCATTCTCATTTGTGGAATTTTGTGCTCAATAAATATTCCTGGATCCGGCAGTTTGCCAGATTCACCAAAAATTGAGCCCATGAAAACAAAGTCGCTTGCAGTAATCATTTTACATGCCAAATTGGTGCAAGATTAATTTCAGTCATCCTTTTTACCCCGTAGGGCAGCACAGTTCTCTTGAAAAAAAGAGGACTTGGCTTGCTGACCAGGCCGACACTGCATCGTCCCAGCGGACGCCTGTGAGTTCCATTCTATTGGGGCATTGCCCTGCTTTCTTATGTTGTGCAACTAAATAAGAAGTTGCGACAGGGTGGTTTTAGAAGATATCTGAATTCCCTGTAAGCAGTTGGCGACCATCCTCGTAAACCTTTACTGCCATTTACACTGTTTATTTGCATCTGAGTAATCCTTCATTAGTGCAGCTTTTGGTGTCAATATTGCTTCTGAGCACGTCTCCAACTGGTGTGTTTTCCACATTCCTATTTGTGGTCTCCTGTTTTCCTCTTAATGACATTATCAATGGCGCATTAGTAGCCAGCCGCAATCCTGGCGGTGTTGCAGTAGCAGAGGTGGTGCTGGCAGGTGCTTGTTCTACTGTAGCTATCTCTGCAGTCAGTGGACCCCACAGCACTCACAAGTTGAGATACTGCAGCAGCAGCAATAATGGCGTCTGCTCGCTTTCTCACCAGCATCTCTTAAACCACCCGCCACGGCCGAAATGTCCAACTAAATGTCCTGCAGTCTTTCGTGACATGATTTGTTGCAACTTCGGGACCACTTGATGCGCAGGCAATGTAGGACAGTAAACACACCAGTCAGAAATGGTATTCAGGCACCATGGCAGGTAGTTTTAGAATAAGGTATGCAAATCCAAAGAAATAGCATCGTCGCCACTGTGCAGATGGAGGAGCTCCAGGCAGACAACGCTGCCCTCAAGAAGGGAAACGCAACCCTCGAGGAGGAAAATGCTGCCCTCCGGGTGGAAAACGAGAGACTTCAGCTTGCTGTCCGAGAGCTTGAAGCAGTGATTGGTATGTATAGTACGAACCTCTGTTAGAGGAACATGCAAACAAGTAGCCAGCGTGTGGCCAGCACTCCGTGCAGCGCCGGCTGCCCGACCCCACAGCTGCTCAGCGCAGACGCAGTGAGTGCCAGGGGCGCTGCGTGCGGCCTGTTGCCTGCTACTGGAGCTTGTTGTGCCTGCACCAGGCTGCCCCTCGCCTCAGCAACCATCATGGCGTGGAGTGTCAGCCATGCTGTCGTGTATTCCCTCCAAAAGTGGGCCGCTCTGTACAGTGCTGTCCACTGTTGAGGGGAAGGGGAACACTGACACAAGGCATTGCATGCCATTATGCTTGCTGGGTTGAGGGGACCTTAGCACAGGTGCAGTAAGCTCCAGTAGCAGACAACGGGCCACACACAGCATCTTTGGTGCTCACTACGTCTGTGCTAATCCAGCTGAGCAAACGTAGGGAGCACTGTAGCATACTACGACTGATACGCACTATCTCTGCACCAAACACCCAGTTCCTTAATTTTTTATAGCACAGCTCCTAGGTGCCCATTCTTGCATATAGCGGTGTCGGTGTTGGCATCACTACCGCCACCAAATAACGCCCCCACCGTACCCTAAACCTCCTCTCTTGTCCACCCTCAAAAAGAGTGGTCTATATTTGTAAACATATATATTTCTCTCTCGAATCCTTTGCCATGGTATATTGCAAAATCAAAAGACCCCAAAAGCTCGCTCTAATTTCGCATTACAGAGAAGCATAACTGTCTTTCATTTTTATTTTCTTTTATCTAATTATAGCCACTGAAAGTTCTCGGGGCACTAAAATCCCTAGGTCCGCTTCAGATCCTTCTCTTGGCACTGGATTCAGTGACTGCAATATGGTGGCCTGGTGCGAGCGGCGAGCGATGGGAGCCCTCTAACGTCACTAGAGCTTCGTGCTCAGTTGTTGCACGAGCCGCAGAATTTATGGAATGAGCCTTTGACGAGCCTCAAAGTAACGAAAGTGTCTCGTGTGGCTATCTGCGGAAGTGTCTCATGTGGCTATCTGGTGGAGCCTGGCAGAGCCTAGTCACACTCAGTGCTTAGCCAACCGCTTTTAGGGCTCACATTGCCCTGACGGTGCGCACCACAAATTAGTTTCTACAACGCCTACACAAACATAAATTAGTTAATACTGCAGGTTAAGCTAGTTGGTAAAACATGATTCACATACCAGTCACTCAAAAAAATCAAGCATACGAAAAAAAGTAATTTTTTCGTATGCTTGAATTTTTTTAGTGATTGACTACCTGTGCGTGAATCATGCCCCAAATTGTCTGGCTCAGCTACAGAGTAGAAGCTTTGCAACTGAACATGAAGTGCTTCTGATGACATTAGATTTGTCCTTCATCCGAGTTGTATGCGCTCTCCACAGGCATTCAGGGGAACAGTGGCTGAGAGGGCTAGTGCATCTCAGTTTGGAGCATGTGGAGCAAAAGCTCGTGATGCAGAACCCAGGGATCCTGGGTTCGATCCCCACTCCTGCCTGTTTGGATCTGGATGAGCATCGTACCGGCACGCGTTCGTGTAATCAGTACTGCGTGATGCATGTTAAAGACCCTAGGCTAGCAGTTGTACCGCACTGGCTAAATTGCTCATTTACAGTGTTCAACAATGTTGCCAAACCCAGGCAGACTAAACTTACGCTGTATAAACAACATTGACCAATTACTTTACACGGGCATTCGTCACCGCTTTGAATGTGCTCTTTGTGCACATCAAAGTTCATTTTGAGTGGTTGCATGACCAAGATCTCACTCGTTCGCTTTCCTTGGCTGTAGGACAACCAAGGCCCGGCTTGGCCTTCTTTTCTAGGCCTAGTGTCTGGAGCATGACAAAACCAGGAAGGTGGAGGATGTGGAAATTCCCCTTTCACTAACGATAGGCTATGGGGTACTTACTCACTGTAAAATACTCCTGAAAACGATCAACACGTCTGTCACCTTCTGGCCAGCCCTAGACCACTGGCTGTCTAGGGCTTTTATGCTTTTTTTTTTTCTTTTTGCTTTGTTGGTGTATTGGGTTAGCTGTACAGAGAGCTCAAATTTTAGCTCTAGGGAATGCTTTGGAATGTAGTCCTCTGGGAAAATTCAATTGCACGGTCTCGTGTAATTGAAGTGTTGCTACTGTTTCTTTAAAATAAGATGCAGTGGTGATAATAATTGCACTTTAACAAATGAGGATAACATATACTTTAACAAGTTGTGCTCTGAGTACCTTATTCTTCTTAGATCTTTATTAGGTTTTGAGAACTTCACAATCCCAGGAGTAAAGGATACCACACATTGTATACGGGTTAGCTCTTTCTGTACCTTGTGCGTTACACCCAATGTGCTGAAATGCTGTTAGTTACCCCCTTGCACTCCCTACCGTCTCTATTAATGACGGCAAGCAAATCTTTTCTGGCTCTTCATCACGGGGGTTCCCTGCACATCCTTTATGTTGCTTGCTGATTGACGTTTATTTTTTTTTTTTCTGTGCTCATGACATTCTTATGTGTGCCAGAGGACACATTTTGGTACACTTGCACACTGTATACATATTACTTCCACAGTCTTGCAGTGTATTCACAATGTGATGCGGATAGACATGCAAAGTCTGCTGCACATGAAGGCATCATAAAGGTGACATGGAAGTGAAAAAAATGTGTTTCTTGCAAACATTACCCGCGTAACAAAATCCTGCACCACGGCCCATAAGATTGGTGCATTATGTCTAGGATTTATGAACTAAAGAATGTCCTATTCCAGTCATGTCTGATATCATTTCAGATGCCACGGGGATGGTAAAGCGGCTTCATCGCATGCTACGGGCACAAGAAGCCGACCAGGTGCGGCAAGCTGGTCAGGCAGCTGCAGCAGCTCTAGTACCGGCAGCCATGGTAAGCTTTAGTCTCTCGTAACTTTGCAGTATGAGTGTTAATTACTGCATTGCTACATTCTTCATGCCAGGATATCCTGTTTGTTCCATCTTCATAGTTGTCTTGTTGATTTAAAGGGCTCCACCGAACAAAAATTCCCCTGCAATTGGAGCCGGTGCAATTGTGCTTATATGTGGCTTACACACAACACACTTCTGTCTTACATGGTGGTGTCGAAAGCCTGCCATTTATGCAGCGGAAGCTACGCTCGTCTCCTGGCCAATGCTCATTTCCTGTTTGTAGAACTAATACAGTAAAGGCTACAACAGAAAGGGTCCCAAGTTACAACCTATTGGTGAGGAGATTGAACTATACGCCCGTCCGTCAAAACAAACGGTGGCTGTGTAGCAAATATCTCCGCTCCGTGTTATGCTGCGTCGCTCTTGCGCTAGCTTAAATTTGCTTGCACTACTGCGCATTTTACTGGCCAATTCCACAGGTAACGTGTGGGGTTGGGAAGAAGCTTATATCACTAGCTTGTTCACAAAAAGAAAACCGCGTTTTGAGTGCATGAATAAAGGTCCGGAAAATCTTGACGCTTCATGACACTGAGTATAGTCGCAGAGTCCAGCGTGACTTTTGCGGTAGGTTACAAAATAGAGAATTTGCGACAGATACAAGCCATGTTTGCACATTACGGTTTGCAATGGCTGGCTTTTGTAACTCAACATGGTTAATTCAGAATAATTTTAAGAAGCTTCCAAAGGAATCGTGTGATCGATTCAATAAGTTGTGAAAACTAGAGGACTTAATATAGGCATATTCTCTTTCGACGATCTAGTATTAATCATAGACTCTAATAACCTATTTTCTTAAAGATTGTTTGTACTCTAATATATCTTATTTTCTAATGTCGTAAAGGGCAAAGCCCACAATGCCCTTCTGCTAGTTTCCAAATATTCAAATGTAACTGAAAGCCTTGTCTCTTTTTTTTAACTTGTTCCAGGTAGTGTGCTGCTTTAACCTTTCGCAATCTATCACCAGCACTAGCGTGAGATTCACACAGGCTTTCAGCTTTCTGCAGTGTGTAGTTTATTTATGCGGGTCAGTAGAGTCTGTTCTGCTGACCTTACCCGTTTTCCAAAAAATGAATATAGTAGAAAACACGCAAGACAGTGTCCGAAATGAAATAGACGAATGAAGCGTCGACATTTGTTGACACTATAAAGTATGTCGGATGGCATTCAGAAATTTTTATGGGTCATGTGCGTGAAAAGCTTGCGCACCTTTGTCATCCTAGGCTGATGTGTTACTTTAATAATTTCCTTTCTCTCTTCTTCACCAGACCGACATCGGATGTGGTGTACTGGTGGAGTCGTCGACGCTACAAGTGCTCCGCAAGGCCGCCAAGTCTTCTGGCTGTAAATTCGCTCGAAGCCTTGTAAAGGTACTTTTTCCAAATGACTCATGGAAGGAAAAGTCCCTCCATGGGCGTAGAAGTAATGCGCACAAGGACATTGATGCAAAAGAAGCCCTGGACCCGACCATCGTAAAGGCCATACTAGGTATGTTCTGTTTCCATCTTGTCGTGAATTTTTATTTTGTGAGGATTGTCCGCTAACCTGCTAGTATATGTACCGTATTTACTCGAAAATAAGTCCAGCATGAATAAAGGGCAAGCTCCTAAAAATTGAATTTGACAAGAATAGCAAATAACAAACAAACTTTTAAGAGAAGAGCAGAGGAAACATTGAACACAGCACACCATTATTAGCCGCATGCTCGGCTAAATCTCAATACTCTGTGCCATAAGCTCCATCATAATCGGAACATTCAGAAAATTACTCTTCCTTCAATGGTTCGCTGGTGTGTTTGGGTCGGGGTTCGCAATAGGTAAAATGGCGTCCCACTGGTTCTGCCATGCTCTAATCAGCTTCTTACTGTTGTCAAACCCTCAGCAAACAGTATCACGCGAAGCTCAATGTCTACAGTCTAACTCATCCAGTCCAGCGTCGTCGTAACTCGACAGCAAATGCAAAACGCCGCTGAGAAATAGCGCCAGCTGCCGAAGAAGGAAGCAAAACAAATGAATGAAACGGTGCGGCAGCAGATAGTTTTGTATGTGACCTCTCTTCCTAGCGGAGAGGTGGCACTACTCTGCATCGCATTGACACTCCCAAGGCACCTAGTCGAGCCGCTCTGGATCTTGATTATAAGTCTACCCATATTTTTGGGTAGCATTTCCCAGAAAAAGAAAGTCTACCTACAGGGTGATTTAAGGAGACGCCAGGCCCTTTAAATCGACCGCAAAATTCGGTTTATTAACCTATCATGCTACAACTTTGTGCAGCATTGCCCACAGATGGTGCATTTTTTTTTGTAAAATTTGCAAAGAACGAACTTACCTGAGGAAAAAGTAAAGAAAGAAAAAGGCTTAGCTCCTTTGGAAACGCAGGAACGCCACCGGTCTTCAAACAACACGGCGCCGTTTTACACGGGAGCCAAGAGATGGCGCAACAAACGAGCATACGGCGCCGAGAGCTGTCGTCTTTAGCAGACAATCTTTTCGACTCAAAAGCGGCGCCCGTTCCGCAGGCGGCGACAGTCACAAAAACAGGCGCGTTAACAACAAGGAACTGCAGTTCCTTGTCTCCTAAAGACGCCGGCTCTCGGCGTCGTATGCTTGTTCGTTGGCGGCAGTTGGCGTCGCGACCGCTTGTGCCATCTCTTGTCTCCCGTGCGAAACAGTGCCGTGTTGTTTGAAGACCGGTGGCGTCGCTGCGTTTCCATAGGAGCTAAGCCTTTTTCTTTCTTTACTCTTTCCTCAGATAAGTTCGCTCTTTGCAAATTTCACACAAAAAAAAAATGCACCATCTGTGGGCAATGCCGAACAAAGTCGTAGCGCGATAGGTTAAGGAACCGAATTTTGCGGTCGATTTTAAGAGCCTGGCGTCTCCTTGATTCACCCTGTATGTTCAAATAAATATGGTATGTATATATCAATGGTTACTTCATGTCTTTTAATCTTGTGCAACACAGCATGACTTCAGCTATGAGGAAGCAACCTCATAATGCCTGCTAGTGCTCTCTACTGGTGCTATTAACTTCTGACAGTGAAATTGGGGATTGAACTTGAATAGTATGTCAAATTTCTGAGCTCATTGAACTGATTCTGACATTTCCGCACTGCCAGTGACTACTCAGGGCGCACCAGTACGATGCGGCAAAGCTTCAGCCCCTGGCACAGGGGACGCTACTACAAATGCTTGTCATTAGTAGAGGAGCTGTATCTCTATACGGCGAGGAAGTCGTCTGCTTATGCGGAGAGGGTAGAGGTGTCAAGGAGTGACATCACGACGCCACACCTGATATGAGGATGCTAACATGGGTTAACATCGCTCTGTTGTCTGCTGGTCGTAGCAGTGGCTGCTCTGCCTTGGCTGTCAGAGGCCCACCAATTCTGTATGAACCAGGACTCGCCCTTCATCAAACAGAAGAAATAGCTCAAAGGTTAAGTTAAGCACGGGTAAGTTGTCACTCCTTTGTTTTTAGCTGCATATTACTCCGGGAATCCCCACACGTCAAATGAGTTGCTTAAAGAGAAGCAGTAAAAGACTGGGGACTGGAGATATGGCGGCTGGAAACAATTCGACCCTTTGATCGGTGCCACTTTTCTGTGCAGATCAATGCTCCTACTGCTCTGTCGCTGCTTCTTCATACGTTTGCACTGCATGTACACATTGAGTAGGCTAACTGTTTTTTCGAGTGTCCCTTAGCCGGATAGAGAAACATGATTGAACAAGAGGCGACTGAGTGTAGGCCTCGCTTCGACCTGCAACACAAGCTGCAATATTCACACTGCCATGTTGTTTCCAGCCACCACACCTCCAGTTCTCCGCCGTTTGCTGCTTCTCTTTGCACAACTCATTTAATGTGATGGGATTCACGAAGCTAATATGCAGATGAAATCATAGGGACAGCTTACCCACACCGAGGGAGAGAGCTGCCGTAGCCTGCCCCACTTTGGGTGTTGTTGACACAGCTGTGCCGAAGACCCATCTTGGAACCCCCTGCGAGGGCGTGTAAAGGGCAATCCCCTTTGGTTGGACCAAAGTAACCTTGGAGCTATTTCCTCTCCCATTTTACTAAGGGCGAGTCCTAGTTCATACAGAATAGGTGGATCTTGGACAGCCAAGGCAGGGCAGCCACTACTACTGCCAGCAGACAACAGAGCTATGTTTCCCCAGGTTAGCATCCTCATATCAGCGCGGCGGCGTGACGTCACTGTTGACATCTCCTGTACCCTCTCTGCGAGAAGCAGACGGCTTGGTCGCCGTATACTCTATCTTAGCATTTCTCTCCTCGGACTGCACCCTATTTCCTCTTTGTTCTTTCAGTTCTGTATGGATTGTTCACTCTAGTAGTCTGCCTTTGTGTTCTTCAAGGGGCAGCAGACACATCTTGTGCATTGATGCTGTTATCTCCGCATGTCAAAGCTCATCTGGGGTTCGATTTTGCTCATTGGTGTCGACTGTAGTTGAACGGTTGGACAATATTTAACCGAGGCTTTTTCACCTATAGCCAGATGGTAAGAATTGCGCCTGCTTGTTCCAAGCGCTCATTTGTTCATCGGTCACCGTCAGCTTGTTTGACTGCAAAGTAGATTGAAAGCTGCTAATGAAGCTGATGTTATGTCTTAAGTAATGCATATTCCTTTCTTTTCAGGGTACACCTGCATGGAATTTGATGTGCAATTGACTGCACTCACAAACAGCCTCTCCTCAATGCTGGCGCGGGGCGTGTGAAAGTGTGTGAAATAAAGTCATTTGGATCATTTCATTTACTGTTTAGTGCCTCAGCAACCCCAATGCTGCACAAAGCAAGATGGCTTTAGCTAGCACAGCTAGCTTTTCAACTGTCTAAAGCCTAATTAATTTGCAACTAAAATAGTTTGTTTCAGATTATCAAAATATATGTCAAAAAAAGTTCTAAAAATACTTTTAAGAATTTTTTGAAAATTTATAAAATAATTAAAAATAAGTTTATACTGCGAACGAAACAAAAATTACGTTAAAAAAAGAATTCAACAGAAATTTTGTTAAAATATTTCAACAGAAGTTCCGTCAAAAAGAATTCAACAGAAGTTCTGTCAAAAAGAATTCAACAGAAATTCCGTCAAAAGGAATTCAACAGAAATTCCGTCAAAAAGAATTCAGCAGAAATTCTGTTGAAGTAATTCAACAGAAGTTCAGTCAAAAGGAATTCAACAGAAATTCTGTTGAAATAATTCAACAGAAGTTCAGTCAAAAGGAATTCAACAAAATTTATGTAAGAAGGAATTCTAAAAAATTTAAGTGGCCAATTTTAACTAGGAATTCAATAAGATGTCAAAATAAACTCTGAAAAAATTAAAAAGAGTTTAAAAAGAAATTCAATAGGATTCCAGAAATTTTTCAACAGAAATTCAAAAGCATTTAACTACAGATTTTTGTAAGGGATGTCCGCCCGGATCATCTCCTGCCGAGGAAAACCGACGTCTGGAGGACGGCCGATTGACGCCCGTGGTGCTACTACTGCGGGAAGCGGACCACACCTACTGCCGATGCCCATACCCACGACTCGGACAGCGCGTGTTTCACCCGAATGACCCATGCCACCGTTATGGTAAACGCCCTCGACAGATCGACGAGTACTTGCGACGACCTGAGTCCCCCGAGCCTGCGTTTCTCCGAAAGTTCCGCTCGCCGTCGCCACGACGACCAGCTTCGCCGATGCACCAAACGCTACGTGAAAGCATGTCGCCCCTCACTCCTCTCCGGGGAAACTAGGTGCGGCATCCCCTGGAGGTGGAGTTGCCGAAGTAGACCAACGCGAAGATCCTCCCCGGACGTCGGAGCGCCCCCACTCGAACGCACCAGAGACCGAAACGAAGCTCCTGCAACGATAAAAAATAACCTCCACGAGGTTATCGACGGCCAGGACGCGTCGTCTCTCGTTGACACCGCAGCAGACTACTTCTTCCTGAGTGAGAGGCTCTCTCAACGCCTTCGGAAAGTGACGACGCCGTGGGATGGCCCACCTATAAGGGCAGCCGGGGGAAACCTTATCACGCCAGTCGGAAGATGCACTGCTCACGTCGAGATTTAGAGCAAAAGCTGTCCGGTAATGTTCGTCGTTCTACGAGACTGTGCGAGAGACGTTATACTCGGAATGGACTTATTGTGCGAATACAGCGTCGTCATCGGCCTGCAAGACAACGAGTTGAGGCTGCGGAGACCTGTCGTAATGCTCGAGGATCAGAAAACTACGGCATCAACGTCAGCTAAAGTGTGTGTACTTTGCGACTACTTGAACTTCCTACTACGCTGGAGTGTACTTGTGACTCTCGAGACCGAGAAAGGTATTTGTGGAGTAGCTCTTCTGGAAGGTAGCGTCCAACTGCCCATAGGAAGAGGAACGGCATCGCAAGAGGCATTACGAAGCTCCAATGTGGACACTCATTGCACTCGTAACGAACTTCCGGTAGGAGGCTCAGCATCATACGAAAGGTAGCGCCGTGGGTCACGCTGACGAATTCCCGGACTCAGCCACAATCGCCGGAATATCAGAAGTCCTCTCTGTGTGGTCACACAAGAGAACGCCGCCTTCACAGTTTGACATAAACGCAACCCTGCATACTCCACAACGACGAGAACTCAATGACCTTCTCGCCGTGACGGCCTGGAGCTGAGCCGTTTGGTTAGACATGCTTACTTGAATACCAGCTAAACGTTTAGGAAAAGCGATGTAGAGAAGAAAAGAAGAAAACACACTGCTGGACTATCAACCTTTTAATAAAACTTACGTTTCCTCAACACTATTCTAAAAGTTATCTTCATCAGTCGAATCTTAGATCTTAGAGAGAAAACTTCCTTTTTATCGACGCTAACCGTAGAGTTATCATCTTCTTCAGCTCTCGGACCTTCCAAAACTTTCCTTTTTCTCCCTACACTTTCGGTAGTGGTAACTTCTTTTTCTGTTGGATCTTGGCATTCAAATGGTCCCGACTTGGTTGCTCCAAGGGGCCGCTCCCCGCAGATATATTTTTTCATTAAGAATGAGCGGAATGGAGGCGGCAGTTACGCATTGTCCACCCCTCTCCTCAATGGCCAGCGACTCGAGGATCTCCATCCAAGCTGTTTCCGGTGTCGTGCGACGACAGTGATGTTTGTGAAGTCAGGAGCAACTTTGCATTTCCAACAATGTGCCGAAAGGTGGCCTGCCGACGTTAGTGCGGCCAGAGAGGCTGCTTGTTCTCTGGTGCGGTCGCTTATGCACCTCCCTGTTTCCCCTAAGTAGCTTTTGCCACTTGACAGGGGGATTTTGCAGACAACTCCTTTTTCGCATGGGGCATAGGGTGTTCGATGCGCGGTGCCCCAGGTCGTCGTCACGTCCTTGTCAGACATCTCGGTTCACCCTACAGCACATGGCGTACGCCTTGTTGGGGGCTGAGCACACGACGTGGATGCCTTGTCGGCCAGCGATCTTTTTTAGACGATGAGTGACCCCGTGCATATATGGTACCACTACGAAAGGCTTTGGGGGTTTCTTTTTCGTTGGTTCATTTTTCTCAGGATTATGTCGCACTTGCTTACAAAGCTTCTGACATATCGGTACGAGGAGGGTACTCGTGTACCCGAAATGCTGGAGTCTACAAAGCTGTCTTTGAAAGCTGCGCCCCACCTTATGAGAGCAGGATTTCTATAAAGCTGAGACGAGAGCTCTGGCGGCCAGCCCCCGTTTTACATTTTTGGAATGCTCCGAGTTACTCTGAAGGAACCCCTTACATGAACGGGGTTCATACATCCAGCATACGTGGGAAGTTCGAAACACCAATGAGAGATCCAGAAAACGTATAGATTTGCTTACGAGAACTTTATGGGTAAAAGCAATTTATGAAAGCTTTGTACAAAGCTGCGCAGTATTAACAAGCCCAAGAGATTATTGAGATGCGTTTAGTGTTCGGTTCGGAAAATGACAGCTTGTGCTACATGGTGATGAATGTTCAGTAATACGTTCCTTCTCGTTTTTGTGTTTGAGTGGTTGCTCTGCAGTGCCCGAGTCGACATATGTCTCGGATTACATTCTCAAGTCCGGTATTGGCATCGGAAGTGCGCTGCAACCTACTTCCCAGAAATTGACGGTCCTTTTACGGGTGCTCGTCCCGATTACCTCTAGAATTAGGTAGTGTATATCCCTTAGCAACTGGGAGAGTGATTTCTCCGAAATTCTACCAGCAGCCACCTGGCATTATCTGTCTGAAATTATGAAACAACTGCAAGTAGAATACTGAATTTAGTTATTCTCCCAGCAGTTCCAGAAAGCACCGTTTTACGACCACGTTTTCGTGGATACACGTTTCATGGACACGCGTTTTGTCGACACTAACGTTTCAGCGCCTTCGGTTACGCGAAATGCACGCTGTACGCGCATTTCGTCGCGAGTGTATTCCTGAGAAGCATGCTCACCTACCCAGCCCACCCGTTCACGCCGTTTCTTGGTGAGTCTGTAGCGGCTCAATACAAAAGACAAAAAAAAATATTCTAAGCTTCTTATAAAACATCGGGTGTTCATGAAACGATCCGTCGGTTTAACGTCCTTTGATGAACTCATTGCACCGCCAATGATTGGCGACTGCCGGTAGAATTTCGGAGAAAAAATTGTGGCGGCTGCTGCGAGACTGGGCTGTGCACAATAATTACCGCAGTTGTCGTTTGCTTGGCAATGTTTTGAGTTGTATGGCAGCTAAGTAGTACCTCTTCAGATATTACGAATAGCTTAGATTGTACTTGTCTACAGAATAGGCTGTGTGTAATAAACTTCCAGGAGATTTGAAGACAAAGCCTTTCGTCTGTTTAGCTTCCTTTTTCAAATAGCTATGCGAGTGCACTTTTTTTTTGTTTAAGGGTTTGCTCAATTTTGTAGAGGGGTTTATCAAGGCCGAAACGTCTTCAATTTTTTTTAGATGTGCAACCTTCTTTTATATCTAAATATGAGGACGGCGCTTTTTTTTTATTAAGATCTACAATGTCAGTTATGAAAATATATATTAGTGATATTTTACTTTGGTTTCCCAGTTTTATCCTTGACCAGTTATTCCTTATAGTAGGGGCTCTTTTCTGAAACAAAATGTTAATCGCTACAATGCATTAAAAACTATATAAAACACAGATAAATATTTCAGGAACTTTTAATTGGTTTTGAGTTCGTCATTTGCGTGCGAGATATGAAGGGTACAAAGCAAAAGCGATATGTTCTGTCCCATGTAGTTTTTTGTTTTTTTTTTACATAGCTTGCATTGACGTCACATCAGTCGCCCTTACTGAGTACCGTTTTCCTGTGCACGAACCGCCTGCGGCCAACAATTCACACCATCGAATCGGTTCTTCTCAGCAAGGCTTGCCAAGATGCTGTGAAATGTATTTATAATGCAATTCACTATGCTCAGATGGTACGGGCATAGTATGTGGTACGGAGCGAATGTGGCTGGTACTGTGCGATATGACAATCACATGCAAGAGACATTTCTAACAATAAAACAACAACAATACAACGTGCCCCCCAGAAAAGTGATATTTTCGTGTCAAGACTTTCACCCGAAACACAAACCGGCGACGTGGAAGAACTGATCAGCGCTGTTTTGCTAGGTAATCCATATGTATGCACGAAACTGAAAACTAAGCTCCCGTATTATACATCATTTCACGTTCTTGTTGAAAAAGATGCATTTGAAAAGATAAACAGTGCATCTGTCTGGCCAAAGGGCTGTATCTTCAGACAGTTTTTTCGGACCGCTTCAT